TTTTTTTTTTTTTTAACAATAGCAGCTCTGTCTACTCTTTTGACGGCAACTATCATTGGCCAAAAATTTAAAAATCATTCTTTGACAGCACCAAATGCCACGTCTTCATCTCTTCCCAAAAAGCAGTCTCAGTAATAGTTTAATTTTTCAGCAACATTCACCTGTTTCTCTAAACACTCCAAATCAAGGGGCATTATTCCCAGATTGACTTTAATTTGCCCTTATTTCATAGACTGTCCCAATAGTTCTGTTCTTTATCGATTATACTATCCAATTCTTCTTTAAAGACTGGATTAAAATTGCTGTTCTGCAAACTGGAGCTATCCTTCAACTGTTCTTGAACAAGGTGCTGCTCTAAATTCTTTACACTATATTAATCATTCACTTCTTTTTTTAATGTGTTATGTTTTTTTAAAGGCAGACTGAAAAAAACAATATTCGGACAAAATGGTCACCTTGGCATTTTACCTCTTCACTATTTCATTAGGCTCTGAAACTCTGACACTTATTTTTATTCAACATTTTTGCTTCCCTTAGTCCGTTAACGTAGGGTTAAAGAATTATTAGGTGAAGCTTTGATGTTTTTGATGACCTTATGAGGGAACATTAGTTTGCTTTGCTTCTTCTGCTTGCTAGTTCCGTCGCCCGCTACAGCTGACCCTTAAAGTGCCTGCAAGCGTCTAGAGTATTGGTTAAACAACTTATGAAAAGAAATTTTAACAGCTCAATGTAGTTTGTAGAATATGACCATTAGGATCATAGGTGAACCGAGAGCCACAAAATCAAGGACGACATCCTTGTTTCGATGTGTAGCAAAAAGGCCAATGAGTTTTTTCAGCTTTAGCTTATACTTGCAAGAAGACATTGCTCGAGAGCCGGATAATTGTAACAGCGGTTCCAGATATGCATAGTAATAATAAAAATTAGGCCACACTGCAAAATCAACGATACTTTTCAAATTCAAAGGAAAAGCTGCTGCAGTTGATAACCAAGTCTTCATAGTTTTTAGTACATCTAGAGTTCTTTTAATAGCAATAATTCTGAAGGCAAACAGTAATTTAACTAAAAATTCTAATCTGTTACAGCAAAAAATTCCTTTCACAGGAATTGTCTTGTTTATAAAAATTTTTTCATTGTCGTTTGTAATCGTTATCCATTTACTTAGCCTTTCGTTCTATTACTGTCGTTGATCAAGTGGCAAACTCTTTGGGTTCTCTAGCCACATAAACGAAGTTCCTTCTTTTATGGAAAAATGCCGCAGAACTTCAACCTGGAGGAAAATCTCTCGGCTTTTTCAAGAGACGTTTTAGCTTTCAAGCTCCTTTTGCGTAACAAGTTATTGTTCTGCTGGGAAGAAGTAAAAAGTCCAAAAGCATTAAATGTTGGAAGTGCTTTGGATGCGACAAAATTTGTTCACCTGAGAAAACTTTTACTTAATTTACTAATCAAAGACAACGAGCAGAGCAAGAAAAAAAGTTACAAAAAAAAAAAAAAACTAAAAGTAAAAGTACTGAAATGCGATTGCACTTTTAATCAGGATTTCTCACCTCTTGTGCTTGTGGTATTGCTTAGAGTCTCACAACTGACACGTTGCTTTCAGTCAGCCGGGCTGAAATGTAACTTATGCAAGACTTTTTGCAGCTCTTACTTTTGTTAAGATTAATCAGATTACCGGGTTTTTTAAATCCCTGTTGTTAATTTTCATTTCACTAATGTTACTCGTTCGCTAAAATAACCTTGCGTACAAGTGTAGCGAGCTGTCGCATTCAGAAATTCGTTGGTTTTCCTTAACCGATTACGTAAAATGCAACGTTAAATGTGCCTTTCCCCGACGCCATTCTAAAGTATGTTAAATCTTTTAGCAGTTTACCTGAATCAGAAAAATTCTGCAGTAAAATAAAGGCAATATGATCTAAATGCAAAAAAAAAAAAAAAAAAGAATTATTACCAGCAAAAATCGATTTTCACGAAAGTGGCGCCATAATTATCATAAAAAGCAGCGAAACTTATAACTGCACTAACCGTATATATTGGTAAGTAATTTAGAGTTATGCAGTGGCTCAATGAAAGAAAAGTTCCATTGTTGTGTAAATATAGCGTCGGAAAAGTCTTTTTAGTTGAAGTTTCAGCCAAGCATCATCACAATTTTTATTGATCTGTAGCGTCAGTAGTTAGCTAACGAAAAGCTTTACTGTTGTTAAAGTATTGCCGTTACTTCCAAATACAATCTTAGGAGTCCCTTAAAATTGCCTTTCCATTAAGATGTTCTAATGTTGGCCATTTCTTCCAGTCAAGTGTTACCTTCCCTGATTGGGTTTTGGAAAACGCATACTTAAATCCGTTGCTTTAATTTGACCAAGAATTCAGATGCCGGAAAAGAGTAAAACAGCGGTCAAAATACTTCATGGGTCTTTCACTGCGTTCAACGATCTGTTCTGTTCCTCCAATATCTCTCATTTAGTAACGGGCGAGTGTGAACCAGCGTGCAGTTAGGTTTTCCTGTTTCAATTTTACATAATGGGTGGTGCATTACAATTTTGACGGTGTATGAAAGTTTCTCTGAAGATGAGACGTGAACCCCTGATGCCTAATTTGTAACTTAGTCAACGAAATTAGCTGGTGGTCCATTTCCACTGTTGCGGACCTTGCGTAAACAATTTTGCAGCGGGTTTCTAATCTCCAAGAAGTAACTCTTCTGTCGTGGACTGCACTTCTGAACGCGTCTTAAAAATTAATGGACGAATGCAATTTAATGAAGTACCAATTGATGTCCCTTTATGGCCTCTGTTATGCTGTATGTTCTGAATGGTATTAAGCTGCAAAAGAAGTAGAGATTGGGTGACTGGCGTCCAGCCAAAAGCTAAAGAAAACTAACTTCGACTCAGAGTGGGGCGAGATGCATATAGTGCTTTACCACAATTGGTTCACACACGTCATCATTGGCCTCAGAAATAGCGTGTGCAACTTTAAATAGTCGCTGGGAGATCTGTTTTCTTCCCGTCATTTCTGCGATAACCTTCTTCTTCTTCTAGCACATTTCTAATCTTTATGTTTTGGACTTGTATCCTTGGTATCCGATTTGAAATTAATTCCTGCATAATTGGAAAATAAGGGATCAGGATAATTCTTTGAAAGAGATTTAAGATTGCTAAAATCGCAATGGCGTTTCAATTGTTTTGTGACAATCACTGCAGTGGAAGGCTTCATTTTAATTTTAAAAAACAGTTCCTGGTATGATCTGATGAAGTAATAACACACCTCAGGATTATGATTTACAATAACTTCTTTTTTAGAACTGCTGGCTTAAGGCATCAACGCGTGCAATTAAGATTCAGTTATAATTCAGTTATAACTTTTGTCTTGTTCACCTTTTGATAAAGCATCTTCAAGCTTTCGTATGATTTTCTTTTGAAAAGTTTCCGCAAAATTTTTTATAGTTCCACCAAAAGTGTTCAGGTAATGTTGGAAAAGCCAGGAGAATCATTCTTTTTCCTTGTATTACATTTGCTCAATTTTTTTGGTAAGTTTAAGTCGAAGCCAGGGACTGTTGCTGTACTGAATTTCGTCAAGTTATAGCTTGTACAAAAGTTTTTGTCGCATTTTTTTTTCGGAAGATCTCTAAATTGGTTGAAGATCACTCATAGTTTTTGTCGTTGTGGTCTTGATAAGTGAACGTTTTGAAAATGGCAAAACGTTCATTGATTATCTGGTGAACATATTTAAAAGTTGATAGTGACAGACAGGTAACTGCAGCAAAATACGGTATTTCTTCCAGTACTTCTCCTAATTTTAGCATGTATCGTTTAAAATCAGTCAAGAATGACTGCTTAAGAGACTCTTTTCAACTCGCCTGTGCATTTTTAAAAAATTTATTTGTGATCTGGTATTCATTAAAGTTTTAAAGTTATGCAGATTGTTAGCTGTCGGTGTATTTAAATCTAATTAGCTTCGAAGTTTGATAAAGTAGTTTGCTGTTTTCTACCGAACGTTCATTTTTTGCAGCATGGCTGACTTAGTTGCTTTTTAACTGTTGCTGCTATAAGATGCTTTCTTGTTTTGCTGTAAATATATGCTAATTTTTGCAGTTGATCTGGGTACTTCTTGAAGTAAGCAAGGTAAAATAGTTGTGAATTTTTAAGCGTTATCTGTTTTTGAAGGAAAACTGCAAGATTGTAAACTAGGGGGTTATGAGGCTGGGAGCACCTTGCTATGTATTTGTTTTGAGAGAAAGATTAGACAGGTACAAGGCAAGGGAAAGTATCAAAGTTGAGATCTGTTATACAGCTTAGTAAAATTGCTATGGTTTTTTAAGGCGTACTGAATGGCATAGTTGATTGGGGATAGTGATTTTAAGTTTGTTCTTCAAATTTTGTGTCACATTTATTATGTAGGTTAAGTAAGACTTTTTTGTCGAATTTATATCGTTATCTGGGCGATTTAGATTGTAAGCGTTTATGAAAAGCTTTTTAGATGCTATACTCTTCATACAGGTAATTAGTGCGAATCTATTAGTGTTTAGAGGGCATTTTGATTTCTGTGTGGATATATAGCTGTGCACACATCTGGTGTTGTTTGCTGACTAGTTTTTATTCATTGTAAGATAATATTCGTTCCCGCACTTCTATGTTTGTTGCTCAACCACTGGATTATTATACTTCATTAGCATTTATGTTATTATTATAGTACATCAATAATCCTGGCTGTTTGGTGTTTTTGTCGGAACGTTTCATCGAGTTAGTATTAAAGTTGGTCTGCAGGCACTTTTGTAATTGATGGGAACGCGACCTATTTTTTAAATGTTGCTTGGGTTTAAGATTCCTTGCTTTGGATTTTTCAAAAGCTTACCGCATATTTTATACGAAGATGTGTTTTTTTTTTTTTTTTTTTTGGGAACTGATAGAAGGAAAATCTTTTTTGGAATTTCATCAGGAGTGTGTTGTGTGAACACCCACTAACAGTAAAAGTTCTTTATCGTTGTCTACAAAATTACATTTTAGGCAGAGCAATGGTAGCTGCAAGAGTTTTGAAATATATTGCCTCAGAAGTGGCCCTAGCTCTTACATTCCTATTGCCAGTGAGTTTCATTTGTTTGAAATACTTGTGTTACAATTATTGCAAAATAAACCAGACAGTTAAATGTGATAAAGATATTTAATTTACACCTAAAAACAGTTGTGGGTAACAGTGTAGTGAAGTGGTTTTAGAAATGAAATTTTTTTTATACTTTAGCTGTCGCACTGGAATTCAGTGGAAGCCGCCGTTATCCAGCTGAACTCGCAGAATATTGATAGTGTTTTAGGTAACAATACTTGCTCAACGATTTTTTTTTTTTGCTTTTTTGGTGTTGTTCTAATTCGATAAAGTTAATTTATTTTGCAAATTCTTTATCACCTATGGTCTTACAGCTAGTAATCAAGTTGTCTTTGTAAACTTCTATGCCGACTGGTGCCGATTTTCGCAACAGCTAAAACCAATCTATAAGGATGCTAGTGAAAGATTTCAGGTTTGTTAAATGTAAATGCTATATAATTAATTATTATCTATCTTTTTTTTTCTGTTGTTCTTAGTGAGCTTCTTTTAGAACCATCCCCCCGGTACTGTTGCTTGGGCCGCAGTCGATAGTGATAGACAGCGTGAGTTTTTTCTTACTTCGAAGTAGTTGTTCTGCATTAGAACGAAACCTCTCATTCCGTCTGTCCGCCTCTTGTCGCTAACAATAAGTTAGGTAATGTGCAATTTCCTGAGTTTATATTTCATTGTTGTCTCAGCTGTTTTTGTCTATTTCAGCTATGATTGCTCAAAAATATAACGTGAATAAATACCCGACGCTGAAATTGTTCAGAAATGGCGAACTTGTGAAGAGGGAATACAGGTTATATGCAGTGCCGTTTTCAATTGAGTATTTGCAAACTTATTATTGTAGTTCATTCTGAGCGTCTATAATATTTCAATGGTATTGAGTCAAAGGATTAATTTGCTACTTACTTATCAATCATTCGCAGATTCAAGCTATTGATTAGTTTTTATTTAGTAGTGCTGGCTCATATATTTTTTCTACTCACTGAGGAGGTATTATTTAGTTTCTTTCTGCTTGTCTTGGTCTTGGTAGGTGTATTTAGATTTCAATGTTTATTTTCTTTGTGAACTTAAATCCTTATTTTCACACTATTTTGCCAAAGATTTTTGTCTCGAAGTAAAAGGAGAAGGGTATATTTGGGTACATTGAAATAATGAGGCCGCGTTCTTTTATGAAAAGTTGAAGTACATCTTCGGATCTATTTTTTAATTATAAATGATTGATATTTAATTGCTAACCTGCTACAAGTTTGTTTTTTAGGGGACAGCGGTCAGTTGATGCACTTTCAGCATTTATTCAAAAGCAGATAGATGGGTCGATGCAGACTTTCAATTCAACGATAGAATTGGAATCACGGCTTGATGTACTTCTACAGTCCTTGTTTTATTTTATTTTATTTTTTTTTTGCTGTTATGTTTCAAGTAGTGGAAGAGAAATTAGCATTTGGTCAGTTTAAATGTCCGACTTTAGAAAAAGAGACGTAATGTAATTGGATACTTTAAAACTTCATCCGGACCCGAATTCGAAAATTACCAGAAGATTGCCTCATTGCTGAGGGAAGATTGCATTTTCTGGCTGGGAGTTGGTGAAAAGTTCAATGAAGAAACAGCATTGGCCAACAGAGTCTTCTTCCATGCTGCTAAGGCAAGCTAACGGAAATTGTAATTTCTTGCTTTCTGTCAGTTCAAAATTTAGGTCGTTAATTGGGTAGGTTTTTTTTGAATCAATAATTTTTAATTTTGCACGTCACTTCAAGTACTTCATAATTCTTTTTACTACTGATTGCTAAGTACCTTTAAATTTATTGTTTGTTCTCTTAATTACAGTCTGATGATGTGGCGGAATATACTGCGGGTTTGGCAAATTATGACCTTATGAAGTAATTTTTTTATTGTCGGTCTACTCTTGATGCTGATTTTATTTTACTTATCCGCTCTCGCATTGTGGTTGTTGGAAACAAATTTTTTAACACAAGAGGTTTTTATATGGATTTTGTTAGGGTGTGGTTAACCGAAAGATGCATACCTTTGGTCAGAGAGATCACCTTTGAAAATGCAGAAGAACTTACCGAAGAGGGGTTACCTTTCTTAATTTTGTTTCGTTTGCCTGATGACTTGGAAAGCGAAAAATTGTTTACTGAACAAGTCGTCCGGGAATTGCCCGATCAAAAGAGTACTGTTAGATATGCTTTGTTTTTTTCTGTTTTTTGGAATAAATATTGGACTATTTTTACCCAAATTTTGTTTATTTGTTTGCTATATCACCTGTTCGGCTATATCATGTATCGCTACTCGTAACCGAAATTTTTTGTTTAGACTCTATCAACTGCTTACTGGCTGACGGCAAGAAGTTTGCACATCCTTTGCATCATTTAGGAAAGACCGAGAAAGACCTGCCATTAATCGCTATCGATTCTTTTCGCCATATGTATCTGTTCCCAGATATGAAGCAGCTTATGTTAGTTCTTTTAGATCATGTATTCTTGTCTTCTTCTCGTGGATTTTATTCAATCTTATGCTCTAAGTTAAACGACCACTTCTGCTTAGTACTTTACGTTCTTAATTTTGACTTGCTTTTAAAATTTAGGTTTCTTGAAATTAGGCTTAATTTTTTTTCTTCAGTGTTCCTGGAAAGTTACGGCAGTTTGTACTGGATCTGCATTCAGGAAAGCTGCATCGGGAATTTCATCATGGTCCTGATCCAGTGAAGCAAGATCCTGAAGCAAAAGTAAGTATCTCAAAACTTAGGACTGATCTCGTTCTTGCATGCTTGTCTGGCTTTTATTTTGTTCGTTCTTTTTCTGGAAAAGGTATAGCACTATACTGGTAGTTTTTTATTTTTTCCAAGGTCGTATTTTGCTGTTATTTTCAGGTAATTCAAACTGCTACTGAAACGCAGCCTCCTCCAAGTGTATTTAAACAACTTAAGCCGTCAGAAAGCAGGTATTCTATATTACAGAAGGATGAGTTATGAGAGCTGTAGTGTTGTTTTTTTTTTTCTTTTGCTGGTGTAAGTACGCTTCATTCAAGGTCTTTCTCTTTCCTTGCTCTCTGTACAAATTCAGCTGTTGTCACCATTCAGAACTGTTGAGTTATATAAGCGAGGAGTACAGGGGCTGTTACAGTGAAATTATAGTTTTGACTAGTTTTGGAACTGGTCTTTCAGTTCTGTTTAATTAGCAATACAGATACCTTGTTATTACCATCAGATTTTCATCTACAAGTTACGCACGCTTCGGTAATAATCTTCTGGATTATTAGTGAAAGGAAGATATAAATTGTTGAGTTTACTCGTATTTGTAAGTTGTTTGCGGTTCTTTTTCAGATTTTTTAAAAAAGTTTAAATGGAGTGTAGCATGAAAACTTAGCACTTGTTTTTGTCATGTACTACTGCTTACGCTCTTGTTATATGTTTCCCGTTCATAATGTAGATGTTTGATTCAAGTTAACTTTACTGTATGCGGTTCAGAAGAGTAGCGTGACGGGTAAGAATTATGTTGAACTTGTGTTGCCGTAGTTTTTCAATGGAAGCATAAGATCAGACTTATTATGTTGCTTAATAATTTATTTGAAAAGTTTTTGTTTTTTTAGTTTTTGCCTTTGTTCTTTGCTTATACTACACAATGTGATATTTCCGCCTGGATTAACTGTTCCAGTCGCTATTGTGCGATGTCTGTCGCTAGGTCGTTCACCATCGATGTC